AGAGAAATAACTCAATAAAAGCAGTATACGAAATGACTTCAGTTAGAGTACTACTGAGAACCAGAGATCTCTTGGCAGTTGCTTAGCCTTAGTCCAGGACTCGCAAACAGTACACACCCACGAGGCCACCGGGGATCGAAACAAAGATCTTCAGGTTATAAGATAAGCTTGTTGACTATTCAGCAACTAGGAGGGAATTTAAAGCTTCATCAATTATAAATTCTGAAGTATTGGTTTGCAGGGATTCGATTGGTTTCAGAATTTCACCATGAACTGACATTGGTTAGAGAACCACTGGAAAACTTGACAGTACTTTACAGCAGTTTCTTCGTAATTTAGGACTCATAGGCACCCACTAGAGTTCGAACCCAGAACTTTCTGGTTAATAGGCTAGCTTGCAGACCATTAAGCCACTAGAACCCATTCCAATGGCCAGTCCGTGAATTCTAACTTCTCCCAATTCATGATATGGCGCGACCACTTGGCAATATCTTTTTTCGATGAGTTACTGTCTCACCTTCAACCTGCTATACCCAACCGATCACGACTTTCCACTAGAACCCAGGTAACTACCTACTTGTCAGTTCGCCATATATATAGCACGACTACACACACTTAAGTAAATTAACAGTATTACATTTAGCGTTATAATAATAATAATAATTGAGAAGGATGTATTGAACTAATCGAATTCATGTTTTATCAAAATTATTTTCATGCCTTTTAACTTTCTTGTTCTATTTTTATGTTTGTTTCCATTTCAATTTGTTTCTTGATTAGAAAAGAAGAAAACTTTCAGGAAATCTTATACAAATCACAAACAAATACATGTACAAAAGTTTATCACTCTGATTTGTATCTTCATTCATTTCCATTGTATCCAGTTATGCTTTATTATACATGTGTGTGTGTGTGTCTGTCTGGGTATGGGCATCTATACATATGTGTACAAAACACGTTAATCATAATGGAACATGAATTTTCTTGTAAACTGAATTGTTTCTTTTTTTGTTAATATTTATAAATTCGTGTATCATTCATTGTTATGCTTAGTTTTTATTTTATTTGATATTTTTTGTTGTCGTGTCGTTTATTCACTTGCCTAATCCTTTCATTGTATAATAGTCGTTTAACTTTGTCAAAAAAAGGTTAGAAAAGAAATGAGAAGCGTGATTTCTATAGTTAAGAAAAAAATGTTTAATTTCTCTTCAAGTATGTAAAGAATTAACTAGAGTGGGAAAGAAAGTTTGAAATAGAGATATAACTAGAGGAAAGAAAAGGAAGAGTTGAAACAGAAACCAATTTTATTCATATGTGTGTGAGTTGTGATATGTTTACGTGCGCTTGTGATCAAAATTAAACCATAGAATAATGATTGGACATTAGTCAGTAACTAGCGTTGCGTGTGTCTAGTCCTATCTTCGGTGCAGACTGAATTCTATCAGTTAAGCTTACAATGCGGCTACCGTGCTAGGTGGCTTGCCATCACAGTGCACTGTGAATTGTTGGTATTAGATGGTTGGAGGCAATCGGTGGAATGGCCAGTCACCTATCAAGGTAGCCACATTGCAAGCTTGACTAAATGAATTCAGTCTGCACTGAAAATAGGACTAGACACACGTTACACTAGTTACTGAATAGAATCCGATCAAAAACATCCAGTACAAGTCTGTGTGGAGGAGGTCAACAGCACTCAGCATCAAAAATAACATCCGGATTTTCAACTCCAATGTGAAGTCAGTCAGTGCTACTATACGGATCAGAGACTTGGCGTGTCATAAAAAGCACCTCAAACAAACTTCAGACCCTCATTAACAGTTGTCTTCGCTCAATGCTTCTCAAGATCAGATGGCCGGACAGAAAAGATCACCAACAGGGATCTCTGGCAATGAGAGAGCCAACACAGCAGGAACCGATTGTGGAACAAATAGGCAGGAAGAAATGGAGATGGATTGGCTGGCCATACACTGAGGAAACCATCAAGTGACATCACTAGACAAGCCATTGCTCGAGTGGAACCCGAAAGGGAAGCAGCGAGTTGGTCGTCAGTGTGAGAGTGACTTGGAGGAGATCATATGAAGAGGAGATGAAAGTATGTGTGCAGACTGGGAGCGGGATGAAAAAGTTGGCAGAAAACAGAAGGCAATGAAGATGCGCAGCTGAAGCCCTATGTTCCTCCAGGAATTAAAGGATATAATAATAATAATATCTCAGAAGGGACATCAGTTCCTTTGAGGTTGCAGATACGCCTTGCTGGCTGATGACTGCCAACTAGCACGAGACCTAGGTTAAAAGATTCCTGTGACCGATTGCCTCCAACTATCTAATATCAATGAAATAAGTATATCAGGAGATTATGAAGCAACTGTTAAAACCTAAAGGGAACAATTAAAATCAGCACATAAATAATAATCACATATGATTACATTTGAAAATGAAGTCATATTGGTCACAAGAAAATATTAGGAAGGCGGTTGATGTGAGGAGAGAATTAGGACACTGTGCTATAGTATTGTTCCATAGCACATACAGTTTATTTTAATTCCTTTAAGTTCTCACTGGAACATAGGGCTTCAAGCAAGAGCTTTGAATTTTCGGTAGCAGTGGTGTTTATTTTTTTTGCGAGTTGGAGTTGCTAGCCCCTTGCCCAACCTTCTTCCTTTACCAGTATAATTACTGGCTTAGTGAGGTAAAGGAGTGTGTTGGTCAGGGGTCAAACCCCAGACCATATACGTGGTTGGTCAGCATTCTACTGCTGTGCCACCAACGCACACATAATCAAATCGCTTATTATACTTTGTCACTTCTCTGGAGAGATATGGAAGAAGGTGTTGGAATCAGCTCAAATCTTGTCTTAATCCAATCTGATCACTAGTTACTTGATACTTACCTGTTACTTGTAATGGTTTACTCATTTCTTTCATATCAGTATGAGTAATTTATATTAGGCTTATTTGATTGGGTCGATGGCATAGCGGTAGAAAGGTCACCGACCACGCATACGGTCCGGGGTTTGACCCTCGGCCGACACATTCTCTAATCTCGCTAAACCAGTAATAAAACTGATAGAGAAGGAAGGTTGGACATGAGGCTAGCAACTTCACCCCGTGAAAATATAAACACCAGTGCTACAGAAACTTTAAGTCTCTATCTTAAAGCCCTGTGTTCCACTAGGAATGTAAAGGAATGAAAAAGGCTTATTTGAACTCACCATCTGATGAACATTAATTTAGCTCATGCTCTATTAGTTAGTAACAAGGATTTTTTAAGTAACATAAAGGAAAATGAAGTAGTTTTTTTTACCTCTAATATCTTATACTCTACAACAACCCTCTCCTAGAATATGACACCATCAGAAGATGCAAACAACTGGTTCACCTGTAACATAGGGGCACTCTTTAAACTTTTATGGGTTATAATCACATTAAAGCTACGATAATATTTCGCATCGTGGGGAAATAATTTGATCCTTAAAGCATCAAGAGATCTGTTGCACACTACTTGATGAAATACTGCAGCAAACTGGAGTGTTTCCGCAGTATCTCATGTCAATAATTTTGACACTTGTGGTTATACGACATTACTGTGTATTGAATAGGATCAGAATTCAGTAGTATAACCGATTTCTTTAAAGTATTTATTATCTTGATTAGCTTTACTCCAAAATAACCCACTAATTTTATTGCAGTTTAAATCTGTTGCTTATCTCTCTAAACGACAAACACTTGCGCAGTCATCATTTGAACAGATGGACTTGATAAAATGTCAGTTTCTAATCGCCAAAGTGTTGCAGAATATTAACACTGTTTGATCATACAGCTAAAACTATTGTTGTTATTCTTCACTTCGTGCGTTCTGAGCGGAGGAGCATAGGGCTACACCGGTACATCTCCATTCCAATTAGTTCTCTGCCATCACTTTCAAATGGCTCTGTGTTTGTGCACAACCTTTCACTTCCTTTTCACATGTTGTCCTCCCTACTTGGGTCTCCCGCTTGGTGCGTGGCATCACTTTAACTATTCATTAATTTAATTGTGGTACAGAAGGACTTGTGAGTAATGTCACTAATAATATAAAAAAAATTATGTGAACAATTTAGGCATAGTTTTGCGTTCATTATAAATTATTTAAATTAATCCCAGAAAAAAGAAAAATCCCAGAAAAAAAGAAAATCAAAACAAGATTTTTCTGAACGTTTCGCCGTGTAAGCCACAGCTTCTTCAGCAGATTTATTCGGATTATTATTAAATATATAGTCAAAATTTTTTTTACATAAAATGAAGTCAGTTTATTTGAAGGTCATTTCTGACTGACTTTATTTTATGGAAAAAAAATTTTTTGACTATATATTTTGATGATTAATAATAATCCGAATAAATCTGCTGAAGAAGCTGTGGCTTACACGGCGAAACGTTCAGAAAAATCTTGTTTTGATTTTCTTAACACGCTGGGATTAATTTAAATAATTTATAATGTATCAATATGACTCGGCGCTCAAATTATTCCAGGAAATTCGTAACACCTACGGTCTGGAAACCTATAGTTTTGTGTTACCTGAAAAACTCCGAAGTAATAGCGCCTTCAAAACGTTTATAGAAGAAAAGTCTCAGCGAAGGTATATTTATGAGTAGTATAACTAGGTTAATAATTAAAAAGGAAATCTGTACATGACATGAATTTGACTAATATGGAATATTATTAAATGTTTACACAAAAGGTTTATCAGCGTAGTTTTTTATATTTTGTTTTCTAATAATCCAAATTGGAAGAATAAAAACGAATTGAATATGAGGGGTTGTTGTGTACCATAGGTGTTTCTGTATACATTCTACGTGAGGGTATATATATATATGTTTATAGAGAGGGAGAGAGCTAAATGTCACTATAGTTCTTATTATTCCGACTGCATCGAATTTATGACTTAGTCCTTGGACATCTGGATCAACTCGCAAATTTTGTTTGAATTTACCGACATTGAAATTGATCGACTCTTTCTTGAATCAATCGTCGCTGTAAATGAAAAAGGAAAGAGAAATAAAGACTACTAAATATCTTGGCTTTTCAGTTAAACGAATACAAATATGATATATATATATATATATATATATATATATAATATATATATATATGAATGTTTAACTTTTGAATACCTCGGTAGGGTACACATAAGTAGTTTCAACGCTTCAACAGCCACGTTATTTCCTAACTTATTTAGTGATACTAAGAATTATAATAAACACATCTAAAAGAAGACTTTATGTCTTTTTCTTTAAGTTGTTAAGAGCTTTTTGAAATGAAATAATAAATTCAGGCATTTGTTTGTAGGGATTTGATTGGTTACAGGATTTCATCATAACCTAGCATTGGTTAGAGAACTATTGGAAAACCTTTAGGGAGTACTGGGCAGCTATTTCGCCACCCTAGTTTGGGACTCTTCATCAGTACGCACCCACACTGCGGGATTTGAATCCAGGACCTTCTGGTTACAGATAGGAAAGAAACTCGCCGAAGACACTGGCTAGTGGTAGCACTATGTCGTGAATTGGCAGAAGTTAGAATTCATGCATTGGCCATTGGATCGGATCCCAGTGGCTTAATGGTCTATGAGCTCGCCTTGTAACTAGAAGGTCCTGGATTCGAACCCGGTGGGTGCGTACTGATGAAGAGTCCCAAACTAGGGTGGTGGAACAGCTGTCCAGTACTCCCGCAGATTTTCCAATTGATCTTCAACCAATGCCAGCTCATGATGAAATCCTGAAATCATAAATCATTCATTGCTAATCATGAATATTTGTAACTGTGTTTTCTATATCATCTATGGGTTTTTAACATGTTATAGCTTTATCCACTCCTAATCTACACCTTGCACTCACTTTGATCAAAGCTCATATAAAATGCTCGTCAGTGGTGCAGCAGTGGGATACTCACTCACTATGCATGCTATCTGGGGTTCAGTTCATGGCCGATGCACCCTTAAACCTCACTTAGCCATTAGTAACCCCTGTAAAGAGGGAAAATTAGATGTGAGGCTAGCAACTTTACGGTGTAAAAATAAAACCACTGGAAACTTTGTTATGTGTTTATAAAATAGCCACATACATTAGTTCCTTAACAAAAAGATGCAGTTCAGAGGGAAGTATTTTAAGATTCAATCACTACAAAGCCTTCACTTTATATGGTTATAAATCGATAACTTAGTCTTTTTTGGTGTCTATAATCCAAAAACGCTAAAAGTACATTATCCCATACACATTCCTAAGTTATTAAAACTTCAATTTACTTTGTATAGTTGCCATTTGATGAAAAATTCGACGAGCCTAAATTCCCCATTGTTTGATTTGTTGACTGATTTGGATGTGAAAATTCATTGGACATATACTGTAACCACCAGTAATAATAATTCAATACAGCTAGTGTTTTGGAAATATCTGTATTCGAGGTTGTCCGATTCACTTCGTCAGTGTTGTCGCCATCACTGTCACCATCGTCATCATCATCATCATTGCTGTTTATCGTCTGATAAGTATCGTTTAATAAACTGGATGAAAACGTGTTGTGCTTTTTTCCACTTGAATCTGCATCAATTTCATCATCACTGTTTTCATCTGTTGTTGATTCTTTTAAATCCTACAGAAAAGAAGAATTGAAGAAAAATTTATTATCCTTTCCTTTAGTTCCTAGAGGAATATAGAGCTTCAGCCACACGTTTCCATTGCGTTCGGTTGTCTACCAACGTTGTCACCTGGCTCCACGTCTGCTCAAATGCATTCATCTCCTTTTTACATGACCTCCTCCAAGTCACTCTCACACTGACGACCAACTCGCTGCTTCCCTTTCGGGTTCCACTCGAGCAATGGCTTGTCTAGTGATGTCACTTGATGGTTTCCTCAGTGTATGGCCAGCCAATCCATCTCCATTTCTTCCTGCCTATTTGTTCCACAATCGGTTCCTGCTGTGTTGGTTCTCTCATTGCCAGAGATCCCTGTTGGTGATCTTTTCTGTCCGGCCATCTGATCTTGAGAAGCATTGAGCGAAGACAACTGTTAATGAGGGTCTGAAGTTTGTTTGAGGTGCTCTTCACAACGCTCCAAGTCTGTGATTGGTACAGTAGCATTGACTTCACATTGGAGTTGAAAATCCGGATCTTATTTTTGATGCTGAGTGCTGTTGACCTCCTCCACACAGACTTGAGAGTAATAAAAGCTCACTCTGCTTTCCCGATCCTCGCATTAAAACATTTATTACCGTTAAACTTTGGCGTCTTCGTTGCATAGTGAAGATCAGATGGACAGTCAGAAAAGATAAGTAATACACCACTTCGGCAACGAACATCACCAAAACCGATCGGCTGACAAACACGCGGAAGGAAATGGAGATAGATTCGATATACCCGAAGAAGACAATTGAGTGGAACCACACTGGAAAACGACGAGTTGGCCCTCCGAGCATGATATGGAGGAGATCATGTGAAGTGGAGATGGAAGGTTATGGGTAATCAGGAGAAATGGCGATATGCTGCCGAAGCTTTATCTTCCACTATGGGTCTGAGGGAATAATAATACTACTAGTTGTTATTAAGAAAATATTTATTAGTCACCTGAGCATTCCTCACCAGATTGGACTTCCTAAAAAGCTTATAAGCACTCACTTTGACTACATAGTTCAGAAATGTAAACGATCTGTTTGTTGTTCAGAAGTTCACTGGTAGGGAACAGTCAGTGTGACGTCTTGTTAAAAACTTGAAAGTATTCGACATTTTCCATTCTACATTACTTATGACTAATATTTTAAATTTTCTCTGCTAATCAGCTAAGATATTAGAAACTGACAATTTTCAAACGAGTGCCCATTTACTTCTTAGAGGGAATAATTCTTTTCTTATTCAGGTGACCTTACACTCAAGGTATTTGAGTGGAACCCTAATGAAAAGACATGCCACGGATGTGATTCTAAAGGTAACTTAGAGGAATCATGAAAAAAGGAAATGAAAAATTTTAGACAGTTGTGCTGCTATGTGAAAGAGACTACAGAGAACTGAGTGGAATAGAGATGCGCTAGTAAAGCCCTATATTCCATTAGGAACACAAAAAATGAAATAATATAAGTAATCACGTTTTTAAGTGGTTTATATATATATATATATACCGGTTATCAAACTTTATTCTTAAATATAATAAAGTGATAAAGTTGGTTAAATGGACGTTTTGTCTGCTCTAAGTGATTTCATTCGCGCAACAAGCATCCACTGAATTTCTTGACTAATTACTACCAGTTATAACCCAAGTTAGAAAAGTGAACATTGTTAAGATGAATATTGTTCGGTAGATGGTGACTTGCAGTGGGATCCAGGATAGACCCTTTCTTCGGTTTGAGACTACCCAGCTAGATTTACCTGCAATCTCCAGTAGGTTACATCCAGCTGGTGAGCTGCAGATAAGATTAATTACCCATCTTGAATTCTACTTCTGGTCATCATCCCCCTGATAGCATCACTGCTAATCTTCAGAGGTATTCGAAGCATCCATGCCAAAAGCCGATATGTCAATAAAAGCTAGACAGCTTGATTCAGTCAGTCGACGGGAAAAACAAATCTGACTTAAACAAAATTCAGGTTCAATCGCCTAATAATATTAGTTAGAGAACCAATGAAAACCATAGAATACTGGAGAGCTGTTTCGTCCTGGTTTGAGGCTCACCTGTGGTACTCCCCACCGGATTTCGAACCCAGGACATTCCGGTCACAAAGCAATCTCGTAGACTATTTAGCCACTGAGATCTAACTCAACAGCCCATGAATTCCAACATCTATCAGTGGTTCTGTAAACGATATCAATCCGTGAACAAACTTGGAAAAAAAGTAGTTTAATGATCAATGCCTCTTATGAAACACTAACCACATTGTACGCCAAATTTTAAGAATACTCTCAACTTGTAATATAACTTGTTGTAGAGTACATCTGAACGTCATCCTAAACTAATCTCTTATATTAAGTGGCATACAATAAAAAACGAACTAATAGTTAAATAAAAATAAAAGTATCTAATTTATTAAATGAAAATAAGCTCACTGTCTTCATTTGTTCAACAGAGAAATTAAGAGTAGGCCATTTATTTGGCTTCAAATCTTTTATAGACTCCTCAAATGGCATGACTGTTTTAGCGATTAATGATTCATTAAGAAATCCAGCATCATTAGTATTATGGTAATTTGTTGTAGATATTGTTGGAGAAATACTCTGAGTCAATTGCTTAAATGATTCACTAGAAAAGTTTGTTGGAGCTAGCGGTCTAGATCCATGATATTGTACAGATCCAGTTGTATTCGTATTCAACTCTGAAAAGCATGATGCCGTAAGTGTTCACTGAGTCGTTGCTCTTTTGTCTGTGAATCAAAAATATTCGGCAGTGAAGTTGACGGATTTGTTGTCGACTGATTTGATTTCCACTGGTAATTCATTTCAACAAATTGATTTAAAAAGTGTTGCACTTTGGAATCGAATAATTGTTGATAATCTTATTTTGAATAAAGAAAACAATATGAAATGACAATAAATATCATTGGTTTCTCGTCAAAGAAAGACAGTTTTTGAAAAAAAAAACATGATTCACTGTATGTGTCCTTTTCTGTTTCCTAAAGTAGATAACCTGACAAGACCTTACTTGGTGGATTATGACCAGCAGTGGAATACACAAAGCGCATTTCGTGCCATTTGGGACTCGTCACTTGTATGTGCTGAAAACCTCCACTGGGCAGTGGTTTTCCCATTGAGACCTGAACCCAGCATCTATCATTTCAGGCGCAAAAGCATTATCAACTAAACCACTGAGCCATTGTAGCCACCAAGTAACATCATGATAATCCTCAGACATTGTCGAAGCGTCTGTACTAGAAGCCGACATATCAACAAAGTCCCAACATTCCAATCCAATTAAATAATGACAAAAACGAAACTGGTCTAAACAAATAAAATCATCAAATTCATCTATCAAGATTAATCATATGGAAACTTAGAATGACTCCATTTCAGTAAACAGCTGCTTTCCTAGAAGCTGTATAAATGTAAATTTGGCGACAGTTTGAGATGCTTTCTGAACAAAGTTATAATATATAACAGAAGAAAACAGCAGATTCTAAATAAACCACGTTTTATAATGACACCGCTAATTTTGTTTTATGGGCATGTCAGGTAAATTGTCAAAGTATGAGTGGAGTTAATAATCCCAAAAGTTAGGTTACCAAGCTGAAACCCTTTAGTCTCAGTAATAAAACCTAACAAAATTTATCAATCCACCAGTGAGTAATCGGTATATATTTCAGGTCTTGCTTTAGGTCTGTGTGTCGGTGGCACAACGGTCAGGACTCTCACCGATCGTGCAAATGGTTCGGAGTCCGATCCCCTGCCGATGCATACCTGATATCAACTGGTCGGCTTGAAAAATTTGGGCTACCGATATCACGTGCTGAAGATTCCATACTTGTTTCGAAAATATGGCGTGGAATCAAGCTATAATCAAAACGAAAAATATCACACTATGAAAACCAAGTAACTGAAGGGACACCCCCAAAAAATGTTAGTTCCTTTGGGTCGTTGAAGGACAATATATATAGCATCTTCCAGAGGTTTTATAAATACCTTTATTCCGATTTCAAACCCTAATTCTGAAAATTTTCAGTCTCTTTTTCCAGGCAGACTTCTGTTGTTCTTTAAATCGAACTTTTTATTTGCAAATCACATTTCCAGGTAAGCATTCCTTTGGAAATCGAAAACAATCAACCTATAATGAATCGTCTACTTGACACCATAATTAGTCGTCAACAAATTGAGTGAAATTGTACGATGCAATCCAAATGGTTTGTACTGATTAAGTGATGAACAGTGGAAATTGTTAGTTGTAAGAGGTGAATATCGTTTTATGAAGATTAAAACAGCTTGACTTTACCTGATTGATTGTTGTCTTCCAATGGCCTTGGTTCCCTAGGTGAATTCTGTGTTGGTTCTCTAGTTAAACCATCTCCTAGACGTTGATCTCCATTCGTTGTCATACTACTTGTGACCAACATGGTATATCAGCTAATGGAAAGACCAGATTTTCTGTACTCTGTTTGTCATAAATTGACTTAAAACCTGCAGATCCAGGAGAATTGTTTTCATGTTCCAGTCTACTTTGATATGCTGAAAGAGCATATTTCATAAATGATGAATACAAAGATTCAAGATGTCCGAGTAGCTTTGATTTAGAAAGCATAGAAGAGTTGAATGTAGGCGGAGTTAGTAGTGGATATGTAGACAGATTAGAGTAAAAGTTTAGCCATGGCATTGGATCTGTTTGTTGTTGATCATTACTGCTATTATCACTTTCAGTGGAACAGGTACGTGATTGTTTTGGATTGGATTCTTCTGTATCTTTTTCCACGAAATTATTTGAATGACATGAATCATGAATAGATGAAGAACTGGTGTTTCTATGCCAGCCAAACGTTTCGACGGACGTCCAGGTCTAGAACTTTCAATAAAAAAAATAGTAGTTGAATATTCACAAAAATATAAAAATTAAGTGTTCAGAGGTTAAACAAAACAAAACTGATGATTCACTAGTAATGTGGAAAATAAGCCCTTGTGTTATGCAAAACTCTTCTACAAACCGCTTAATATATGGAGCTAGTTATATGACCACACAAAGAGCACATTTTCCAAACGCATCTCTGAATATTATCTGGTATGGTTAACAAAGGTAAAATGCAGGGCAATTACTAGCTCAATCTTCGAGCACTTAGTGAACTCAAGCCACATAGCTCCACCAGAGTCATCTTTCAAAATCATCTACAAGGAGGGGCCGAATGGTACAAAGAGCGTTAGCTTTCAGCCTTCGTATATGGCTGAGGCGCTGATAATTTGTCAATACAACCCCGAACTCTGCATACAGAAAAAGTTTGTCCAGTCTCTTATTTTACTATGGTCTTAACCTCTTCACTGGTCGTTACCCGTAGTAAAATATAAAATTTTTATTAATTTTCAACTTCACTTTTTAGTTTACCTTAATAATTAATTCACTATTATCACTCTCATATGCTCCTTGTGTACATTTTCACACTTGTTAAATTGATCCTCAAGTAGCTTTAACCTTATCAAACTTCTAACCCTTTCTTCCTTTTTGCCGCTGAGTACTACGTAATTCAAAACTTTTATTCTTATTGCTTAAGCCACTTCTCAGTAATTATAACTTATTATGTCTTTCCCACCCGACCTTCCAGGTTATTAAATATTGGATCTTTAATCTGACCTTTGATCTGAAATAATTCTAAATAGTATCACTAACTATTTCTGCTTATTAGGCTTAGTAATTTTATTAATTTGACCTTCACCGGAAATAATTCTGGAACTTTCTCGCACATTTTATATAAATACAGAATGCATAGTCTAGCTGATAACTTCGTCGAAAAAAATTGTCTTCACTGAATAGTCTTGTATTTTCTTCATAAATGACATTATTAACTTAACGTGTAAAGGCTTAAAACCAGACAGTAAGGAGTTCACGGTGCATAGCTTCCTCATTTCGCCTATATATTCAATAGGATCAATGCAACACCTATGCCAGATTTCTAAAAAACTACATTTTAGAAAAGAATAGGTTCAAAATCTGCAAACTATTTTGATATGGTTGTGTTCCTTGAATCAAGTGGTTTAATTGCAAAGCTTTCGTAATATCTTTCCAGACATCACCTTCAGTAGCAACTTAAATATGAAGGATTCAAATAGGCTGAATTCATATTAAAGTTCGCACTAAATATATTGTCTAGAAAGCCACCGAAAGCTTCGCAATCAAACCATCCAGATCAGATAAAACAAACCGCATCAAAATCATCCACCTGAGGCACAAATCTTCTCTATTATTTCAAAATACAAACTATGTAACGCAAGTTAGGAAGTCGTGTGAATACTTTGATATGATTATGAGCAGCGAATTGTACTCAAAACGTTATCCACTTATGAGTATTGTGTCACTGTCTGTGTGTGCTATACATCAAATAGAATTATTCCATTATTATTATTGTTCCCTTGGGTTCCTAGTGGAACATACGGCTTCAACTGCACGTCTCCACTTGCCACTTCTGTCTTCCTTCTGCTGTACTTTTCACCTGCATCCATCTTAGTCCATACTGTTTCAACTACTCTTCACATGATCTCCTCCATGTCACCCTTGCACCGAAGTCCCACTCGCCGCTTCTCTTTCGGCCTGGTTCCACTCGAGCAATGACCTGACGCGCGCGCGATGTCACCAGGTGGCCTCCCCAGCGAGTGAGTGTCCAATCCATCTCCACTTTCTCCTGCATATTTGTTGGTTGGCGATTGATTCTTGTTCTCAAGATAGTTCCCATAGTTTCTTGTTGGTAATTCTTTCCTGTTCGGCCATCTGATCTTCAGTATAGAGCGAAGACAGTTGTTGGTTGATATAGGTCTGCAACAGGTTGTTGAAAATATTTTTTTGACCCGCTCGCCAAGTTTCTGATCCGTTTGTATTGAAAATCCTACCGAATTTTGTTGTTGATGCTGGCTGAGTGACGAAGATTTCCAGATTGGTTTCAGGTTGATGAATGTGTTTCTCGTCTTCCCGATTCTCGATTTGTTATCCTCGTCCGTTCCTCCTGTAGTTGAGACAATGCTCCCTCCCTAGATAAGTGAATGAAATAACCTCTTCCAAATCCCTCCCATCGATGGTGATTGGTGCTGGATGTTGATGTTATTGTTGTTGTTGGTTGGTTGGTTATTTTCATAACCTCCGTCTTGTCTATGTTCACCTGGAGTCCTGTCTTCGCCGGCTGCTTCTTCCACCACTTCATCGGTTTTCACTTATAAGTCTTCGATTTTGTGTGACATCAAACATAAATCATCCACGCGCGAAATCCAGGTCATCTAGTTTATTCCATTACAGAAGGTATTTAACTATTCACACGATTCACCTCTCATCATTTGACATTTCTTTTTAATAAAAAGAATTTTTTTAATAAATTAGATATAATATATATAACTAAACATTCTGATGAAATAGCCCCCTAGGGGACAAAATATCAATGATAAATTATAAGTTATTTGTGTAAAGGACTTTTCTTATATATATTTCTGTCTCCACCATTCTTTCTCTCCGATTATTTTGTATATCTAACTTTTAAGTGTATTGTAAATTCTTCCCATTAACTCAATTCTTCTTCTTCTCCATATGTCCAGTTTTGTAGGTTTCCAGTTGATCTATCCACTTAATCTCCTCTCATTTTTCACTTTAACCGTCATAATAAGTTATGACAATAATAATAATAATACTAATAATCTACCCATTTGTACTCATTCATCTGTCTTTATGAAATGTCTACTCAACAGCCTTATTTTAACTGGTGATTTTCAACTCACAAAAGAAAAAATAAAAGAGAATTTTGATCGAACAAATGGCATAATGATGACATTTCACCATTTACATCTGTCTTGTGCTGCTGCTCCTCACTCAGCACTCTCTCTATTCCTCTTTTCTCTACTACCTTTCTCTACCTTTCTTGTCTTCTTTTCTTCTAATCCCTCTCTCTGTGACAGTAAGAACTAAATCCTGTCAAAAAAAGTTAATATTCACATTTTATGTCATGAAATACGCATAATTTTTTTTTCATTTCTTCTTCTGAGAAATAATGAAAATTTCTAGTAATACTAAATTTGAAGAAATAATGGAGTGATGATGAGGATAATAAATTTAAATAAAGCGAGTTAATTTCATTCAGCTATCTATCTATATATCTATCTATTTATCTGACTATTGAGTTAAGCTGGTACCCTGATATTGAATAACACGGGAAGTAGGTATGAAAAGGAATGAAATTTTTAACAGCTGATGAAATTCTCATCAATTTCTGTAAATATTAAAACTTTTTTATTATCAATACCATTTCAGTGAAATATTAGGCATTAATTTTCTTTTCACAAAGCATAACTAATAAATACATTTATTTCTTATTATCACGGATTGACTGAAGTCCATTCTATTTTAATTTATATATATACATATATATATATATATATATCATTGCATTATTGGAGATCATGATTATGATGCCTAGATTGACAAAGAAACGTCCAGAGTATGAAACATACGCTCAAGGATAATAAATATACTTTATTTTTCATTTTAGCCCTTTAAAAGTTTCCCTATTCTCACAGACTTGGCTTATTTAGAACATATTATAAATATAGTGTAAAAACTGAACAATTAAAAACTTTTAAGTATTGGTTTTGTAGGGATTTACTTTGGTTGAATGGAGGATTTCATCATGAGCTGACGTCAGTTAGAGAACCATTGGAAAACCTGGGACAGCTGTTTCATCCTATTTTTGGGACTCTTCATCAGTACGCACCCACCGGGGTTCAAATCCAAGACCTTCTGGTTACAAGGCGAGCTTCCCACTAGAACCTCAGGTTAACTGCCTAAATAGGGCCAGTCGCTAGTGAGCATTAGATTAATTTTCAAGCAGGCTGAAGATGAGGCAGTAATTCATCGAAGAAAACGTTGCAAAACTGTCGCGTTATGTCGTAAATTGGCAGAAGTTAGAATTCAAGGACCATTGGATTGGATTTCAGTGGCTCAATGGTCTACCAGCTCGCTAGCCTTGTAACCAGAAGGTCCTGGGTTTGAACCCGGTAGGTGCGTACTGATGAAGGGCCTAGAACTAGGATGAAACAGATGTCCACTACTCCAAGGTTTTCTAATGGTTCTCTAACTGATATCAGCTCATGATGAAATCCTCCGTGCAATAAAAACGTTTTACACAAACATCTTAAAAGTTATACTGCCTGGTAAAGCTTCTCAGAGTAATTTGGTAGTAGAGATAATATTCACTAGTGATTTTCTATGAGAATCAGCATTCCTATAGAATTTTAGCAACGTGCTAGAATTTTATTTCATAATCGATAAATTTCTTTGATATAACACACCCTGATACTCTTTTAATAATTGGATAACGTTTCAAGCATAGTTTATTACTTTGCACAATTCTACTAGTTTACTCAAATGGTTTGATAATTTGCTTTACATATACATAAGCCTATGTTTCTCTCCTTTGTTGTTTATTGAAACTTTCGATATCTCCGGTGTAGTCTTTGCTTCATTTCTATTTCATGTATTGGGTGTTGATTCGATGAACAAAGATGCAGTGATTAACCTCCCTGTTCACATAACTATATTACTTTTTAATACTCTCAACCTATCCTACCCCCCCCCTATTTTGTGATCAGATGCAAGGAATGAATTGCAATGTCTGAGCTTTTTTCTAGGCTAGTTAACTTAACTAGTCAGTCATTCTACGTCTAGCTGAATTTCTGTTATCCAATAATCTAAATGACCTCAACCTACTAGTTTGACATATGTGATTTACCTCAGAGTCATTACATTTTATGTTATGGTAAACTATATTACTTTTCTCAATTGTATATATCAGGTCATTAGGCTGAAAAAGTTCATCTCTGAGA